CAGCGGAAATGCTTTGCTGAAGGACAGGAAGGGCCTGAGACATTAGGAAGTGAATGTGGACTGTGGACGGACTGTGGGTGTGGGGTCTTAGGGGTTGCAGGTCAAGGGTTGCCTGTTTTTGGCGGGGAGGGGGAGTGGTACGCATCAGAACAAGTGACACGTGCAAAGGTTAAAGCGTTCATTGTGCACTTAAAGGCGTTCAAACCATAACGCCATTTGTGCTGACAGTGTTTTATTGTGGTACAGTGTCTCCTCTCTTGTTGCTCGAAAGTGTTGCATACTTCAAGGTCAACATAATGATACTAAAATCGAGCATGATTTCCACTTCGGTAGCCCGCTCTGTATCCGCATATATATATCTATATATATATATATATATGTGTGTTTGTGTGTGTGTGAAAATTATGCTGGGAATGCGAAATGTATTCAAAGTCACTTATACACACACATTTACAGCTTTTACATTTACGACCGCAGAAAGTGTGCCGCATTGATGTGCCGCATGAGGCAGCTGCGGCCCCGCTGGACGCGCCCCTTCCTTGGCTCATCTGCCCATTTATATCAGCACCAAAATAGTATGCAATAGGTGTACTTGCATGTGTGTGTATGTGTGTGCAGCTGTATGTGTATGTGTGTAAAATGGCCAGGCTGCTCACTTGTTGTATACTGGCGGCCAGCTAGAATTTTATCAAAGCTATCTACATGTGGGTGACATACACACACACCCACACACACCCACACACACACACACACACACACACCGAAATGCACACACACACATATATATATATATATATATGATCCAATATGTATCTGTATTTGTTATTTTTCAAGGCTGGGTGTTCTTGAAAAACTTTTCAGGTGTGTGTGTGTGAGTGTGTTTGTGTGTGTGTGTTGGGAATTTTTAATATGTGCAAGTTTTTGGTAGATCAAACATTTGCGCTGAAGGCTTCTTTATATTACCTGTATTATTTAATTGATGGCTGAAAGTTTTCACATCTAATTTTTTCTTTTTCTTTCTTTTTTTTTTGGTACAAGTTTTGGCAACTTTTTTGGCCAGGCACACAAGCTTTGGTGTTTTGTGGAGGCTTTCGTAACAGTTGCTGCCTGTTGCACTTTGACCCGTTGGCTATTTAACAGTTCAGTGCAGACAGATTCATACAAACACACACACTCACTCACACTCACACTCATAAGAATGCAAAACGCGTGCGAAAACGGTAAAATGCGAGCTTTTCGAGCCCTAGCAAAATGTTCGGTGTGGCTTCTGGGAAGGCTTCCCAGCAAATGTCGCTGCTGCTGCTGCTGCTTTTGCTTCTGCTGCGGCACACACGGGCCGCGTGTTATTTGCGCCGGCGCACAATTGAGAGACGCTTGGGGTATAACTGTAGCATAGTTAACAGCTGCTGCCGGCTGCGCTGTCCGCGCCACTCACAGCTGTTCTTTCTCTCTCTCTCTCTCACTCTCTCTCTCTTTCACCTCTCTCTCTCTGTCGCTGTCATGGTCAAAGCGAAAGACTATTTTACTATTGCTGACGTAAATCAAAATGCAGACAAACGAACAAAAAGCTTTCATGAAAGCTCTCGCGTAACTGCATCTACGCACCGCTGCTGCAGTCCACAAGCGCAGGCTATACTCAAAAGCACAGATGTAGAGTGAGAAGTGTGGAGGGGGTTGGGGGGGGGGGGAGCCTTGCACACGGTCAAGGTCAGCACGTTTGCTTGTGTGGGTTGTGTAACTCTGAGTGGTTGAGAGAGGGAGGCAGAAGCAGAGGCGACGGCGATGGCCCTGCACAAAAAGCTGTTGCCAAAAAAAGCTTCAGACTTTTTTGTGTGCTAAAAATATTCACATTATAAACTCTTCGCTGCACACAGCATAAAAACCAGGCTCGAAGCTAAGACCAACAGATTTAACTGCTTAATTAAAAAATAATATTTAGGCAATGCAAATGAGCAAAATCATTAAGTGATTAATATTGTTGGTTGTGTTTCAATTAAATTTGATTTAATGTGAATACCTGAAACTTGAATCGAAATAAATAAGTAGATGATTGACTGCTTGCAAATGAAAGTAAATATAATTGAAGCATGATTATTGAAATTAAATTCCAATTATTATTCAATATGATAAATACACATTTAATTAGATATTTGATAATCTCTCAAAAGTCTCTCATGTATTTTGGTAACTTTCCAAATATGAACTGCTCAACATTGTACAGTCTTTAAGAATAACTTCGAATTATCAAGGGCTCTTAATCAAGACAGTTATTAATCACCTAGGCGACAACAACGCAGAACCTTGTTAGCTGCTAAGGAGTTTAACTGTGTTGGCCACACTGTGTCTCGCTTGGTGGCACTCGCAACAATGTGCGTGTTTGGGGCATCAACGGCAATTACGAACAACGATAACAGGTTCCTTGCTAAGTGCTCAACACATACACACGTATACACATAGATATATTTATATATATATAAACGATAGTAGGTGTAGCTAGCGGAATAATTGAAATGTAGCAAACCTAAATCATTGCCTACTTACTTGCCAGAGAACGGTGAGAGGTGGGAGGGCGTGAGAAAGATGCCGCATTGACAATTAAGTTAATGGCCAGGCTAAATTGTTGCGCTAGTTTTGCTTTCACTTCAGGTGTCAACGATTTCATTACGAGCTCACACTTTCTGACCAATGTCAATGCCAACACGATTGTTTGTTGCCTTTATTATTATTGCAGTTGCAGGTTGCAACCTTGACCACGAATATTGATTTCCTGTTGTGTTGTCGACTGTGTGTCGCTGTCTGTGTGAGTTACTGCACGTGTATATCCACAGATATATATATATATATATATATGTGTGTGTATGTGTGTGTGTCAGTGTGTGACACTGTGTCTGTGTCTCTGTCTGTGTCGTCCGCATGTTTTGAATGTCTAACTAGCTTCCGGAGCTGGCAGTTAACTGCTTCTCGACGCATAATTAAAAGTGCGTTTTTGCTTTTGTTGTTGCCCTGTTACATTTGTTGTTGTTGCTGTTACATTTGTTGTTGCTGTTTTACCCATTTGGCTTTGGCCTTAAAGCCGCCCTCTCTCAGCTGTGTGCCAAAGCGGCGTATACGTAATGTTCTCGCTTTCTGTCCGGTCTAGCTTATAGATGCATACACTCGGAAAAAATACTTATTATAAACCATTTCATTCTTAAAATAAGTCTAGAAAGTAGTTGATTTTATCTTAAAACCTTTAAATCTTGATGAATCTGTTTTAGTTTAGTTTTTAAGATTACAATTGGTGTAAAAACTCATAGCAAGCCTTTTTGTACTTCAAATATGACTAGAAGAAGTAAACTTGAGTAGTAGTAAGCTTGACTTTCGAACTATGTGGACTTGTTTTAAGAAGAAAACTACTTTAAAAGAAGATTAAACTTTATTTTATTATTGCTTGATCTATTTTTGCCCCTAAATTTTGCTCAATATTTTTTTCGAGTGTACAATATCCGAGTGAACGTCTAACGGGTCTATCTGTAAATGTGCCTCTGTCGTAGCTGGCGTGTGCGACGTTTTGAATGAATGAGTGCGTGATTATGCGAAACCCCCCATAAAACGACCTCACACCACCACCACCTCCCTCCCCTTCCCCCAAACACACACACACACACACACACACATATCCCGTAATCAGCCTCGCCCTCTACACAGTCCCCGTCAGAGACAAGGGTATTTTGGCACACGATATTCGCCAACTGTAAATGAAATCGAAACCAAGTCGAATCCAAATACGAAACTGGTTTCTAAATTGTGTCACTGACTGGCTGGCGGGCATGGCCAGGCCAACTATCTGGCTAACACAAGTATCCGGCTATCACACACACACACACACACACACACGTCAGCCACAACAACAACAGTAAGTGCGGAAATGTATAGAAAAAAAAAACAAAATAAAATTTGTGATAGCAACAACAAAAAATCAATAACAATTACTTGACATTACTGGCGCGTAAATAAAACACAAACAAAAAAAAGTCATAAAAAAAAGTAATAAAAAATAACAAAACCAAAAATGTAAGCGAATTATCGAATTCGCAAAAATAAATGCATGAAAAAAACATTGTCGAAAGTCAACGCATTTTGTAAACGCTATTTTTTACAGTTCACGAGTTAATATACGATATATTGTATATATAAATTGAATAACTGAACATTAGAGAGCATTTTCAAAGCCATTTACACGATGACCACATTTGACAAATCGATTTCGTAAGATTAAGCATAGAATCTGATGTGTCCCCGGGCTAATTACTATTTTTTTCGAAAGATCAATTGCGAAAATTGATTACAAAAAATTAAATATTTAAATTGGCTGATTTTTTTTACATCTCAATGATATGCACATTTTTCAAAATCGGTTTTTAATTTGTAATGCTAATTTCAACTTTTTTTATATTAAAAAAAAAAAGAATTTAATTATGAATGTCTGCTAAAAAATAAAATTAATCTTGTTGACATAAAAAACTCAAAATGAAATGAAATTTTTGTATCGATTAAAAATTAATTATTTGACAAAGTTAATTATATTAATATCCCTAATTACGGCTTTTGTTACACTCGAAACACATTTTTTAATCAATATTATTTGACAAAATATGTGAGCAATAAATATGCCAAGATTCTTTCACATAATTTATGAATATTCATAATTATTTCTTATAATTTCAAATAAGTTTTGAAAGTTTTATTTTATAACTTTGTGCATTGCAAACTTTTCTAGTGGAGAACATTGAGTATATTAAAAAGAAATCACAAAACACAAAATTATTAATTGAAAACTTTTTGTGTTAAGCTGATTTAAAATTTAAAAGACTTTAGGGTTACAAGAAATTCGTCTTTTTTTAAATTATATCCTGCGTTACTTGTTTCGTTCTCTTTACCTAACATTTCCGTTCAAGTTCAAAGTCTCATCCAAGATTACTTAATTAAATTACGTGTTACTTTTTTTTTGGGGTACTGACCTTTTTCTTGGTATTGAAGCCCAAAAAGGACAATTTGCGAACATTGTTCTCACGGCCACTGGCCGAACTGAAGCTCATTTTGGCGCCGTTGTCGTCGTCTCCTTAACGGTTCAAAGTATTATTGGATCCTGATTGGGGAGATGGTTTAGATGCCTCCAGGCTGCTCCTGCTATTTATTTGATAATTTCCAGACGGCTGGACCCGGGCACTTGCATTGGGCTCTGTTTGAATTTACGCTCCAAATATCTCGGCATTCGGTGGTCAAAGGTGCCGGGGCAGGGAGAGGAGGCGCTGCTGAGAGTAGAAGAAGAAGAATGCTCAATTAGAACGCTATTTCATTAATAAACAATAAAGTTATGAGAGCTCACAATTGAGAAACAAAAACACACACACAAATACATAATTCGAGCAATAAAATTGCGCGATGCGACTTTATTAAAGCCGACTGACAGCAACACGCACATCCAAGGGGGTGAAGAAGGCGGGGAAGGGGACAGGGGCAGGGTGCGGGGTGCGGGGGTTTTTCGATTTGAGCACGCGACTTTCAGTAGCGGTTTGTCACTTGATCAATTCTGGCGTCGAAGAGAGATAATGATGATGCTGTTGCTGATGAGGGCGGCGTCTCTCTGATCGTTATTTAATGGGGCAGCAACATTAGCCACTTCCATTTTCGGTGGCAGTTTCTGTTCTCAGTTATTTTATATGTATATATATATATATTTTTTTTTTTTGTACTTTAATTGCAAATTATGTAATTATCAATGACACAAGCCAAAGTGTCTGACGACTGGCGACTGACTCACTGGAACTCAAGCGCGTAACTGAACTGCTGATAGACAGGCCACAGAATATGCAAAGTGCCTACAGTGAACGCTCGATAATTAGTAATAGAGATTATTCACAAGTATAGGCTTTCTTACGATTCTTTTTATTTTCGTAGGAGTTGGGAATTCTACTATATTTTTCTTTCACTTTGTGCATAAGAAGAAAATCTCAATTAGAAATTTTGATTATTTGCAATTGAAGAATATTTATTAGTTTCTTATTATGGATAAAATGTAATCAATGAATTCTACAAAACTCGTCTCTCACTTTCTGCATAAAAACCATTTCGCAGTTATTTTTTACTAAAACTTTATTCAAGTAAAACACAATTTCTCGTATTAATTTTCTGCATTAAAAGAAAATCGCGGTAATCAACAATTTTTCGAATTTCAGGAAGGTTTTCTCTCGAACTTCCGAACCTAAAGTATCTTCCTTAATGTCTTTCTCACTAAACAGACTTTATTTTATTAATATATATATATATATTTTTTTTTGTGATCACCTTTCCCAATTATCGAAGGTTCGCTGTACTCGAGAGCTGCGTGTCGATGGCTCCTTTAAAAGAGACGCGTGCATAAATGTATTAGGTACCTTTTTTTGGTATTTGATATTCTATATCCAGCCAATTGGCAAATTGAATTATTGAAAGAGACGCAAGCTAAACGGATACGTATCCGTAGTAGGACAGTAGTAACCGTAGAAAGACAGAAACGGCGCGGGCGGGAAATGATGGCGGCAAATGCCAAAATCGCGAAACGTGCTCAATGACAAACGAAAGCCGTGTGAACCTGTTGCGGCAACGATGGCTCTGATTTATGCCAGCCACGAGAACATTGACAGCCGAAAGCGTCAGACCCAAAGCCGAAGTGCACTTCGGGTCACAAAACGAACCACACGAAACGAAGCGAAACGAAAGTGTTGTTGGCAGGGTGTTAATCAAAGAGTCGCGTCGAGTAACGGAAACCGAGTGTGGCGACTTTTTACACTGAATCCGACATGAGTCTCGTGATTAAATTGGGCTTCCAATACAGCTATAGTTATTTCCAGCGATTTCAGCCAAGAAAAATGATTATGCAAGCGAAATGTGTGTGAAATGTTTAAATAGTTTTTTTTTGTTTTTTGATTTTGGGTTTTCTGTGTTTACCTAAGCAACCTGTGATAAAATTGATGTGTGTTTGTTGTATTTGTATTTATCTAGAGTTTTAGCAATGGGATTACACTTGAGCTACTGAACACACACACACACATACACACACACACACATACACACACAGAGAACATGTTATATATAATATTTGGCACCAGTTATTAACTAATAAACGCGTCTGATATATTGAGCAAATAAAGAAAAGTGGAAAAGCGTTCATAATAACATGCGATCGATCATGTGGCAAGTTGTAGAACTTATTTTTTAAAAATATTGGTAATGATATACGTATAAGAAATTTAACAGTGGTTTATATAACAATGCTTAGACTTTGTACAGTATACGAAAATATTTCTTAGATTCTTACCTACGTTTGCCTAATGAGTTGATTATTTGTTAACTAAAAGATTCTTTTAATAGGTTGGGCAAATAGTCATCGCTTTTATGTTGCTTAAGAATTGGCATTGGCAGTGAAATGTTTGGCCTTCAGCCAACATGCCATTTTTATGGACGAGATTTTCAGACAGGAATTTCGACCAAGTATCGAGTGTTCAGATTTTACAGCTGTATTAATCTAGAGGGATTGGAAACTTAAGGTAATTTTTTGGAACGATCTTTTGCGAGTTAAAATCTTATTTCCTACTTTGAATGCCCTGGTTATCGTAGATATTTTGAACTGACAGACGACCAAGGGCTTATCGTGGGATACGATTCCTCTATTCTCTGTCTAATCCCAATTTAATAAAAATGATTAGCTTTGCCATATACAAAACTCAATTATCAGTAGAATTCACATTATTTACACAACTGTGCTGAAATGGAAAGAGCGTGTTGTGTGTGCAAACATTGAATACATTCTTCTTTCATTTCTTTTATATTTCGATCAGCCGAAATAGTAACGGCGTATCTAGGCAATTCACTAATTTGATTTAATGTTTAATCTAATCGTAAGTCAATTTCTAAATTTAGAATAGGCTGCACTTCATCAATCTTAAAATACACCGACAAACATTTGGAGGAGTTGAGGGTTATTTATAAATTCGCTCAACTGATCGAATCGATCGCGTGACGCTTTCTCGGCCAGTTTCAAACGACGCACGACGGACGACGACGAAATAACGTTTTATGCTATCAACAAAAAAAATTAGAGAGACAACAAATATTAGGCGGAATCTGGGGGGCGGTGGCCTGGGGTGGTCGGGCGAAAAACAAATAAACGAACAAATTTCTGACGTTAAGTGTCGGCCATAAAGCAGAAGGTGCTCTAAGCCAACGGCAAATAAATTCACACCACACAAAAATGGACTGGTAGCAGACTGGAAGAGCTCTCGTAAATTAGCGTGGTGATCAATTTTATGGGTTCATTATCAAACGGTGAACGATCGATCGATCGTTCGAGGGTCTCGACTTAGTTGTGATTTAAATTATTGTTTATATACGAATTGTGTCGGCATTAAAAAACTGTCTGCACTGTCTGCTCTTATCGGAACAGTACAGTAAACATCCATTAGGCCGGTCAACTGTCAAGTGATCGCTTACAAATGATTTAGCAACAATTGACATTAATGTATGGCTCTGCTGACCCATCATAAATAATACCCACATAATTGTCTATCAAGTGTCGTCCACAACAAATTGATTTCTATATAAAGAATAATGTATATTTTAGCTAGCAGGTTTGATAAAATCACTAAGCACATAATACATTATGTGTATGCAGTATTAGTGATAAAACACGCGACTAAATTGCATCGTAATCATTGTTTAAATAATCGACTTATCAGCTAACATTCCTGGGCGGAGTTTTCAAGTGGAAATCTTTATCTTTAAAATGTATCACATGCTCGAATGCTGGTTGCCTTATCGACGACCGAATGATGAACAACTCGAGCTCAAGCCGGTTCTACACTCAAAAAAATATATGCCTCTTTTTACTACAACTATCGAAAAAGAGTGTTTGAGAAGAGCTTCCTAAGGCATGCTCAAGATAATATACCCCTGAAGATACCTAAATGTATGTATATGTAGCGGTCCACTTTTATTTTGTTCAGTGTACAGATTATTTCATAATAATGCTCGGCGAAAAACAGCTGCCACTCGTAGCGGTAGCTGCTGATCATGACCGACTACGAGTACAATTTCAGCTGAAAAAGAACCGGTTTAGGCAATTGCAACAGTTAAGAGGCAGCTGCCACTGTTAGTGCCACAAACTGCAACTGAAAACTGCAACTGACATTGAACTTGAAGTACTTCAGAGCAACGAACAAGAAAGAGAGAGGGAGACTTAGAGAGAGAGAGAGACAGCGCATTTCCTGTTTCACTGAACGGTATAAAAAAAAAACACTTGAATATGTAAACGTCAGTTGTAGAACACTATGAAGTATAACTGGACAATCATATATATATTTGGTATTGAAGTGCATTCCATATATTCACTATGTATATATACTCAAAAGTAAAATAAAATAAAGAAATTTTGAGTTCAGCAAATAAATGATTGGCAGTTTTCAAAAATGAGGAAACAAAAGTTCGCTCTTAACGAGGGTGGTTTAATGAGCTTTAACAAATTCTAGATAGGCGTTAGTAGATTGAAAGATAGATCATCCTTGATACGGTTTTAGAAATGAGTAATATATCTAAACTTCTGTAAGAATTTTACTGCTCTATTATAAGTCTAGAATATTAAGTATTTGTATACCCAACTTAAGCATCTTCATTATAATTTATTTATAATCTTAATGAATAGATTTGTATTTCTGTGTTGTTCTCATATCAAAAGAAGGTTTCGATGCAGTGTGGTCAGTTTAATGAGTAACGAGTAGTCCATGATTAGTGCATATGAGTAATCAAAATGGGGTTAACTTTATAATCTTAACAATTCGTCATTGCATTTTGTCATTACTCATATATTATATTTATATCATATCATATTTAAAGATCACATAAAGTCTTTTACAACGCAGACAATCACTCAAACCACCCTCGCATTGTTCGTTCTCATTTCATAAAATATCGCAATAGACTTTTATAGAATTGTTGACCTAGCTCGGGGGGCAGTAGTCGAAAGTAGTTTCCATTTCCACTTGAATGAGTGCAACTGGAACTCGTTGCACTTGGCGAAGGATTTATGGTGAGCTAGGCTAATACTTATGGGTGCAAGGGTTCACAGCGCACTTGAAAAGTAACTGCACTTGAAGTGATCTAATGCCAGCAAGCATTTATGGCAATCGTACGCTTCAACGGTTCTCAAACATATGGTTATCGGAACTCAAAGTGCCATGAAAACCAATCGCGACTCGACAACCCAACTGTAAATACCAAAAACAAAACAAATAAAACCAAACCAAACACTGTGAAACAGCGAGTTCTAATTGAACTACCAACTGACCAAGTAAACGTGCAACTGATACGACTAACGAACAATCAACAAGCGTTGGTACACGGCACAAAAGGAAAGTTCGTACTTCAAATTTGAGTCAAGGCTTACAAGGAGTGTAAAATGTTAAATAATGAAATAGAAAGCATCAGGTAAACTGAAATTAATTATTGTACAGAAATATATATATGTATATACGAACAGCATTAAGATCACTCGTGCGCTCTCAATTTAAGCTTTCTACCTGCTGTTTTTTCTCTGTGTACGTCTCACTGAGTCACGCCCATTTGTGTTGGGGACGTAATCAATACGTATATAAGAAGAACCAGAAGCAGAAGCAGAGTTCATTTATTTTAGTTTACTTCCTTTTCAATTCTGCTTTCTTCCTATTAGATAAGCAAACAAGCATTCACAAATATCAGCTGTTCCCTTATATATGAATAATTAGTGGGGGGTATTTCTTTCCATTATTTTTTTATAGAACTTTGGGGTTTTGCTTTAAAAGAAAAGTTCACCGCACACACATACACACACACACACACACACAGAGCAAGTCCAATGAACCAAATGACTAATTGCTTTTTTGATGAGTCCGATTGCTGTTGCTATTGCTATTCTGAGTCTCATTCTCACTGATTACGCAGCAAAAAAGAAAAGAAAAGAAAAAACAATAATAATAATAATAAATGTTTACTTGACAGTCCCCATATCGAGTTATCTAAAGGGCAACTGAATACATGAGTAAATTTTAGGAACTACAAATGATTAATAATTGGCCAGCGTTTTGTATACGGATGTGCAGCTGCAAGTATTTGTTATTTGTGTATTTATATAACTCTGATTAATCACTAATAAATCTTGAGGTGTACGCATGAGAGTTGAGAGAGATTGCACATTGCTTTACACTCAGAGAAATTGAGGCCGCATTCAAAATTCAACTTTTTTTCAATTACTTAAAGCACATTCGCACCAAACACCGCCCAACCACCCATTGCCACCCATTCCCACCCACTCGTAGGGCAACCATTTGTTATTACATACTCGGCTACATACTTTAAATTGCAGTCGTTGCAAATTCTGTGAACCGTGCACAGGAACAATAAATACAGCTAAACTGGAAAACAAAACACGAGTGCTTCACTTCCCCCGCAACTTGTGTAAACAAAAACCGCTAAAAACCAACCAACAACAATGCCAAACAATAACAACAAAAACAGGAACAACAACAACCATCAACTTTAGGCGTCATGATACATTTCGGTTAAATATCAAAAGAGAGAGAGAGAAAGGGACAGAGAGAAAAGAAGAATAAAAATATAAAAAAAAAACTGCACACAAGTCAAGATAAACAAATTCTGGTTACCATTGTACAACAACGCTTAACGGAGGGGGCATAGAGCGAGAAACACAGACTTGGCGACTTAAGTTAGAACGGTAGCCAAATTATTGAGCCATTACTCAACACACACACACACACACACACACACTAAGAGACTGTCCAAATACTGTCAAATAAATTGCAATGCAAGTCGCGAATATTCACGTGCAGCTTAAAGAGCAACTTTAACGGTGCTGATAACGTTCCAAGTCGAAATCGCTGTCAGCGCAAGCAAGACACAAAAGCATTTTGCTATTGTTACAATAGTTTTGCATAAGAACAGCAGATACAGGGAGAGAGAGCGAGAGTAACAAAGTGAGAGAAACGTAAACTATGTTTGCTTTGGTGAAACAAAAAAAATGAAATGAAATGAAAGACATGTAAGAAAAGGTGAATGGAGAATGGGCAGGCAGGAGGCAAACAAGCAAGCAGCAAGCCAAAAACTATGTGGAACCAGTTTCAAACAGAAAGAACCGCAGAAGAGTGAGATGGAAGTCACATGCTGCATTTTCGATTCTTGACTTGTTTTTTTTTCTTCTTTTTTTCGATGTGCTTCAAAATACACTTGTGTGTTGACGGCAGCAAATCAACCACAAAATACACTTGGGAAAAAAGTTGGGCATCGAAATATTTAGAAAATCTCGTATTTTTCTCCGAGTGTAGCTGTGTACTTTTCTGGTTATTTTCAAGTACAGAATACATAAATTACTGCTTCGCTGCTTTGACGACACTTTTGTTTTCCCGAATTGTACTCGAAATAAATGCCAGAAGAAGAAAGAAGAAGAACATATCAGCGTCATAGCTGAATAGGAGAAAAAGTCAAAGACGTTGAAAATATTCCAATTTTTAAAAATTGGCACACAAATGGCCCAAATGTAACAATACCAACAACAATAAATATAATAATACATTCATTTTGGCCCAGACACAGACGCAAGTCGTTAAAAGTATATAATAATTGACACGTACTTAAAAAGAGCTCTTTATTTTATTTTACCCACCGGACTATGTTTTTTTTTCTTTCTTTCTTTCGTTTTTTTTTTCCGTTGAGAGGTTACTGTAAAATTTCACATCTGCTTTTACGAAAATTTTCCACTGTGTGCGATGTGATCTCAGGCAAAAGTATCGCGCGGATTGTGACGTGTCGGCGGGGTGTGTGTTTGTAACAGAAAACAAATCGCTTTTGCGACGAACCAATTAATATTTGAAAGAAACGCGTCGATAACACAAACAACACCAAAAACAGATAGACACGATCAAAAACCGATGACGATCGGAGATGTCCGCAACGGGAACGGACGAAAGAAAATCACAAACACACTAGCTCTCTACATACACACAAAATGGCAATAACAACCGCAAGACAAACGTTTCTTGCGTTTTATTTATGTACTTATGTCCATTTTATCGTTTTTAACTTGTTTCTTTCTTTTATTTTTTTATGATTCTTTTAGGACTTTGATAGCCAAACGACGACAGAATTCGTCGTTGTTGTTTGATAAAAGTTGAACTTATGCGATCGAATATAATCCGCGATCGCAGTGTCTTTCCGGTCGCACGCTTCTGGACGTAATAATTTACTGTTCCTGTCGCAGCACGTTTTTAAACGGAGAGCAATCGAAAGCAGCACACCAGCAGCGACAGCAGCAGAGCACAACAATAACAACCAACACATTTTGACACAGCGAGAGCGTTGTTTCAAGAGAATATCATGTTAACTTAGGAGTTACCCTATAGCAGGTTTTGAATAAACAAATTTTAATGATTATACATAAATTATAAAACTTAAGCATAGCAATTGCTGTCATCACGAAAAGTATATGTATGTATATATAAATATTTATTTAGTTTAGCTATTGCTTGCAAAATTCATTATACACCCCACACGTGTGCATTGTAAATATAGGGTATTTGCAAAGCATAAAACGAGTCTTTTGTGAAGAGCACGTGAGCACTGATGAGCGAGCATTTTTACAGAGAGCCCACCCTCATTGCACGATCGGTTCGCGGTCTCTCTCTTTCTCTCTCACCGCACTGAAGCAGTCTCAGGCGCAATCTGCTTATTTGACGGTCTGAGGATATTGGGTGTGAATTGTGGCCGTCCACTGCACAAATGCGCTCATCTATTAATAGTTATCGAGAAGTAGGTTTAATGAGGATGAAACCGTTAAATGGCAGCAGACAGATGCAGGGCAGGAATCGGGAATTGTTTGTTCAGTAATTGACACATGTAAATTAGCCGATTTGGTTCTAATTGATCGACTACTGTTTTCCTCACACACACACTTACACAAAGAGAAAAGGTGTGAAGATGTGTTTGTTTTTTTATGTATTTCATCATATTTTACCAGCGTATAAATGTCAAATTATTTCGAAGAAACTTTTCAATTATTAAACGCTTGTAAAATGTCACTTGAAGGTGAGAAATTTTTTTATTATTTGCTGATAAATATGGAAAAAATTCCAGACAATAAATTTAATTTATTTTTTTTTCGTATTAATTTTTTGTAGTCTTTACTCATGTATACATTTTCATTTTCCGATTAGTGACGTCAGCATTAGGTTTGTCGACCAAATTGACAAATCTATCAATATTACAGTTGCTGCTGCTGTTGATGGTTAAAATTTGTGGCATATCGTTAATTGCTGATAAATTGGCACTTGAATTGACTGCGAAATATTTTCTGATATTTCTGATCTATTTTGATCAAGTGCTAATTTGTGTGTGATTCGTGATCAATGGGAATGCGAATGGGAAAATTTTTAGCCTCGAGCGATTAGCATGTGTTGAAACTTAATGCAGAATGAAATGGGCGACACACGTATTGAGCCAATTAAAATTCAGTTAATTGATAAGCACAAATAAAAAAGTCAATTAGTCATGCAAAAGTTCGGCAAGTGCTAATTAGGCGGGCCAGCGCAAGGGTTAATTAGCCAGCCTCAACCTAGAAGCATGCAACGATTTTCGCAACTTCAGCTGCCTGAAAGTATGTGTGCAAAAAATATGCAACAACAGCCACAACAACTCTCACTAAAGTTTTTGCTCCCAAGAATCACTCAAACTGTTGAGCGCTTTTCTGTCTCTCTGTGTGTGTGAGTGCAAGCAGCTCGTCGCTGCTGTGGTGAAAAGCTCTACGTTGTCCCAAGGCTGTTGTGCTGGCAAAACTCAGTCGCAGTCGCAGTCGCAGTCGCCACTGCTCCTGTTGCTGTTGTCCTGATTTTGTTACTGATACAGTTGTTGTTGTTGAAAGCGGACCAAAAGAGGACTACAACTTCATTTTTTATCATTTGATTTACCTTTGCTCAGTTGTACAATGCGCACTTCCGCCAAACCGAAAACTGAATTTTTCTTACCTTTGACGCGTATTTATGTTGTCCTTTTTCCCCCGTTTCCCGCACGTGTGTTGGGGAGGAGGGTATGGGTAATAGGTACGTAGGTTTTGCCATTTGCTTCATCTAACTATGTGCAACTATCTATTTTCAATTTCCCCGCATGGTTGCCAACCTTGCCACTGGCAGTTACACTTAAAAAAAAGAGGTATCACTTGGGAGCAAAAATTTTGACATTGAAATTATGTGTCCTAAAAATATTAATTACATTAATAAACAAGATAATTCAGGAATTGTCACTTAAGAAATATAGGAGAATTTTAAATTTGTCGTTTAAGTTGAACTGTTTATGCATTTAAATTATATATTCTACTTTTAGTATTCATATCGAATAAGGCAAGCAATTTCGCTGCTTTTCAGTACTGTTCTGTATATTATAGTTTTTTTTGTTATGTGTCACTTTTTTTTAAGTGCACCCAGCGAGCCCATACAAAACGGAAATAGAAGTTTTGTAAATGTTTTCCTTTGTGTGTTTCTTTTCCCAGTTCTTCCCTCTCTGACGCCCTCTCTCTATCTCTGTCTATCTCTGTCACACACACACACACATATATAAACCAGCATACACATGTATGTGTATATGTGTGTATATTGTATCTGTGCTGCAATAACAGGCAAGACTAACACTAACGCAATTCGATGCCTTTGAAAGATGAGCGCGTAACACACCAAAATGGGTGCCAACACAACGGTACACAGAACAAGAACAATAAAAGCAAGAAACAAGAAACAAGAAAAACACCAGCAGCCGAAGCGCAGCAGCAGCAAACAGCAGCAGCAGCAGCAGCTGTAGCAGCATATGGGCAAAAGGACCTGCACTTTAGTTTTTGCTACTTGCAAGTGTTATTCCCGTTGCTGTTCTTGTTGTTGTTTTTGTTGTTTTTATAGGGCACTTGACGCTCTGCCAAACTCAAACTCAAACTCACGCCAAAGTCGGGTGAAGAAGAAAAAGAAGGAGAAGAAGAAGAAGAAGGAAAAGACCGAAGCCATTTGTAACAGAAGAGGAAGAAGCAGAAGCAGCAGACCAAAGCCATTTGGCGGGCAAGTAGTTCCATGCAGGTGGACGGTTGAGGGAGAGACGAGGGGCGGGGGCAGGGTCTCTTTCACACTAACTACGAACTATCTGCTCCATCTTCTTGTTTGTTTGTCCTTATTTTACACACATTTTGGGGTTGGGGTTGGGGCATTTGACGTTTTAGCACCTTTTTTTGTCGTGTGGAATTTCACTTTAGGTTTTCCTCTCCATTTTTTTAGCTTGCTTGCTCGACATAAGAGATAAGAAAATTCCGTTTTAATAGCTGCAACAGTTATGCGTATTGGTAAATTGTGCGACAATGTGTGCGTTCAATTTTCATAGACACTGTGGGAGCAATTAAAAAAGCTATACAGATCCAGATAACAATGGGATGTAGCACAAATAGTCTATGTCTGCGTGAGACAGAGAGAGAGAGAGAGAGAGGGAGAGGTAGAGTGCTCTTGAGATCCAAGTTATCGGAAAATTATTAAGTGCAAATTTGACTCTAGAAAAACTATATTTGTTTGATTATATTTGCTAGCGGAAATTGGTAAATCGAATTGCGACTTGCTGCTTGTGAAAGGTTGGGAGCGAGAGAGAAAGAATGAAAAGAAAGACAGAGAGAGAGAGGAGGAGAGTCGTAGATTCAAAGAGTGAAGTATGAAGGCAGAGGGAAAGTCAAAGCGAGAGAGTGAGAGTGTGAGAGACTGAAAAAGAGATTTAAGAAAGAGAGTGGCAGAGAGAAAGCGAGAGAATGAGAGTGTGAGTTAGAGACAGGGTTAGTGAGATGGAGTTGGAGAGAGAAAGAAAGATAAAGTGCCATATAGAAATATGGAGATAGAGAAAGCCATATGCAGAGACACACAGAGAGAAAGAGAGAGAGAGAAAGAGAGAGAGAGAGAGAGAGAGAGAGAGAGAGAGGAATTTGAGTTATCTGAAAACTACAGTTCTGAAATAACTGTTTTTTGATGAAATTGGAAAATTGAATTGTGTCTTTTCTCTTTTATGATAGGCAGAAAAAGTAGAGACTGGGAGAGATAAAGAGAAAGAGAGACGATACTACCAATATTAAATATTAATAACCACTTTACTGTCTGCTGCCTCAACAACAAATATAAACAAATATTTAAGTGCAGATCAAAGTCTAAATTAAAACTCGAAAATCAAATATTTTCACTGCCAGCCACGCATTCTTCTGCTTTTCAATTATTACGCTACTCACTTTAAAATTTAAACAATATCAAAGGCAATTAAAATTTCTCTCTGTGCAGTGGCCGTGTGATTATCAGTTAAGCAAACAGCGAAAAGCACAACGCTCGCAAGCTTTACGCTCAGCTGGTCAGCTGATCGGCTGCTCACCTGTTGTCTTTGAAGCTTTCGCTTTCGAGCTTTGCTCACTTGGCTTTGACGATCTCAATTCTAAAAATGCTCGCTCCAAATGCGTAGCTGCTTCCCAGTCAGTTGTTGTTGACACTCTTGGCTAATAATAATAACAAATATGACGCCAGCGTTTGCCAACTAATGTTATAAAAATTTAAAGCCAATACAAAAAAAAAAAAAAAACTACAAATTTGACATGTGAGCGAAGGCTTTAATCAAGGTCAGAGTCATTTCATAAAGCATTAAGGAAAAAAGTAAAAAGTAGTGAAAAATGTTGAAGCACAAAGTTAATGACACAAAGTGCAGTTGGCGGAAGTGCAGTGCTTTTTAACTTGGCCAACAGTCTGTAAGTGCATTGCTCGACAATTGCACAAAGTGCTCGACAAAACTCAAAAGAGAGCTCGAAAATCGCAAATTTAATTACGTGACGTAAAAAACACAACAAATACACAAGCAAAAATATCAAATAAAAAGTAAACCCAAATGCCAAGTGATAAGATAAGCGAACGGAACAGAAACCGAAACCGAAACCGAAAGAGAAACGGAAAGCAAACAACAACAAAATAGAGGTGGGTTCATTTCATAGAAGTTTTGCATCTCATCATTTACAAAACTGATACCACAAGTTGGCAGCGAGACAACGACTCGGATTCGCGATCTCGAGCGAATGCACATAAATATACACATACACTGAGAGAAATCATCGTTATTCAATCAACTAACGCTGAAATACAATTCCTTCCTGAACATTCTTAGTTCGAAAGAAATTTCTAAAGTTTGCTGCTTCAAATCTCAATTTCAGTTCGTTGCTCAATATTCATTCTTGAGTTCAAAAAGTTTCTTGAACCGGATATGGAAAAATGCACAAACTTTTCTCTCAGTGCACACATAAATAATACTTGCATTAATAGCAAGTGTCGATTTTCAAGTTTTTATTGTTGTTGCTACATTTTATAGGGCAAAGGGGGGTTGGCGGGGGATTCGCGCTTGAGTTGACGCGTGCACATACAATTCGCATACACTGTTACATATAACGTCTATATATATATTCATATATATCGCACAGTTATGCATATTAAATATCTGGGTTCGTAATACCCAAACAATAACGGGCCAACACCGGCTGACGGCATTTGCATGCCAAGGCGTTAAAATGCCCGCAAAGCCACTTACCAAAACAACACATGGCCCGAACCACTGGGCCACGTTAACGAACCGCGTTTCTAATTGAGCAAAGTAAGAATGCGAGCAAAATGGCCCGCGGGCATACAAATTGGCTAGAAAGGGGCATACATATATTAAGCATACGACGTGTTTGCCGCAAACCAAAACTAGGAAATTAGCAAGGAATTCAGCTGCGCTATGTACTCAATATATATATATATGAATATATATGTATGTACATGAAAACACTCGGAAAGTGTGTACTTATTTGTTTTAAGTGCATGTCGATGCCAATTTATTATGCCATTACAACTAATTGTTATTTTGATGCAATCATTTCATAATTAATGCCCAACTCATTCATTATGATTCATGTGAATAGATTTAAGTTGTTCCCAAAAATGACAGATTTATGATGCATATTGATTTCTATCGCTTTGCCAATAAATTGACAAAGCCCATCCATAATTGAATACTTGATGAAGGATTTCATTTGCCAGAAAAAGCCGACGTTGAAATTTAGAATTGAATAATTACAATTCCAAGCAGGCATTAAAGACAAATATCATGAATATAAAAAGGGCTGTGCAAGTAAATACACACACTCACACACACACACACACACACACACATAAAAGCTGAGCTTTAAAGTGGGCGTGTAAAGAGCAGGGGCGGTTAGCATTGACAGAAGCTGTCAATTGCGTAATTACTAGGTGCACATGCATATCCCATATGGTTGCTGCTGCTGTTTACACACACACACACACACACACCACACACACACACAGACACACACAGATACACACACACACACACACACACCACACACATATATATATATACATATTCAAAGTACGCAAATTGGCAAACAAGCGTCAGGAGTTTTCAGCTTCAAAAAGGCCAAGTGACAACAACAGCAACAACAACAGCAACACCAGCAACACCAGCAACAACAACAGCAACAACAACAACAACAATTTGCAATTATGCGACTTCATTATGGAGCTTGTCAATTGCGTGTAGTTTGCACGCTCGACTGCTAAAAAGAGTCGTCACAAAAAAGACCAGCTTTAACTTAAACTTTAATTTAAAACTGATTGCCAAAGACCAACAGCAGCAGCCACAGCAGCAGCCACAGCAGCAATAATTACAGCCCAAAA